TATAACAGCAAATGTACAACGTTTCGACAAGGTTTCGTCATCGTCAGGTACCAAGTTTTTCTTCATTACCCATTCAAGCCGTCTCCATCCATTATTAGAGTGCATAATTCTTCTCGTGATTCATAGCATGCGCACGTTTTACTGGCGTCACGACAGTACAAATTGCAACGTCAAGCGTCACTTATGTGACGTCATTTTAGTGTGTGCTGACTGATTGACACTACTGTAAGTAGTATGAGTGGTTAAAACACGTGACCCTTCCAGGCGGCCTTTGGCCCCCTTTCGGGAAAATTATGCTAATACTATATTAATTACACAAAAAAATCTGCCTACCGGCTTCATATTGAGACATTTTTATTTCTCATTGTCGGATGGCTTTATTTATTCCAGGTAGCAGAGTCTAACTATATCATCAGAGGTTTATATTAATACTTCCGAAGAGAATGGTAATATAATAAACTAGATAACTTATTTTTGTCTGTTGAAGTTCAAATTTATTTGTTTGACTTTTCTGTGTCTGAATAGACTATGTGTTTACACATTAAAATGATCCGTTTCTACCAGAGAATGGAAGATGGAAGAACCGGTATCGGGAGAAAATACTTTGTTTTGAGTTTAAAAGAACAAAAACTTGTTTTTCATTAAGATATTTTCCACTTTCATTAATTTCAAAAATAACGCAGCGACACTGAATCCAAAATATATCTTTTATCTTTAGTAGTCTGTAATCCTCAATATGCTTAGTGCAAACAGTAGATAGTTTGTGCATTTATCAGTTGTGCTGCGAAAACTATAAACGTTTCGTAAAACGAAAGTTGGAAACTATCTTTTGCGTTATCACCCTTGCCTCCCAAAGGGAAGTCGAAGGTATTGCAATCGGGTCCGTGTGTGTTTCTGTCTGTCTGTCTGCATTTCCGGCCGCTTATCTCGAAAACTGATAGACCTATGTACACGAAAATTTTACGCAACATAGAAAGACAGTATGAGATAGTCCTCCCCGAATTTGGTCCGGAACCAAATCCAGATCCGGATTCTGGATCACTTTCAAGCACTTTTTATAATGAAAAGATAGGGCATTTTTGCGACTTTGGGTTAATAACTCTGTAAAGTGTAATCGGATTTGTCCCATATTTCATGGACAAATTAAAGTTGAGACTCCTCATCACATTACAAAAAATTATCCGAATCGTTGATCATTCACTTCATGAAACATTAGTTAATATATCTAGATATTTTGTACATTGAACCTAATAGTTTTTGTCCATTTCTGAATCCTATTAGACTAACTGCAATAATGTTATCAATGTTTGAAAATGTTAAACGCTTTTCATACAAAAGGTTTAACTTTTATTACATATGTTGTTTATTTAGTACGTACAAATATTTTATAAAATAGTCTTATTTTTAGCTTGATTAAAACTTGAAAATTTTAGTCCATTTAAGCATTCTGACTTCAGTACTGAAAGAGCAAGAGAACAAGCTTATTTCTCTTAATCTATGATATACATAATACATTTAATAATATTATTACACTCAAAGTGAGGTTCGAATTTCAGATGTCAAACGAAGATACTAATACAGACGCAACGTCTTAGAATACTATGTCATTCCCTCATTTCAGATTTTTCATTTATCCCTAACTCCTCGAGTCATCATCAGTTTTGATCTAATAGATGTGGAAGTCAATTCATCGCTAAAATTATCAACAGATGCTAATATATATGCTACAATTGTCAACAAATCCTCAGTTCAGAGTAATATCTACCAGTGGAATTTTGTGTCGTGCAGATTATCCTTTGTTTACTATACGTTTTCGCTTTTCAACAAGGAAAAGAACAACATCAACAAAGACAGTAATCTTACCATTTTTTTGACTGCATGGTTCTTTTAATCTGAAACAGATATGAAACAGCTGTTTTTGATGTGGCATAAAATTTTCAGATCTCTTCAGAAAGATATAAATGGGGGCATCCCAGCATTCGGAACAGATGTGGCAATATCCCAGATTTGGTCAAAATTTGGTCGGCCCTCCACCCTTTAACATGGCTGAAGTCACTGTCGTCCCGTTCCTCTAGATATCGACCATTGTGACGACATAAAACTTTATAGCGCAACTATATAAAACTTCATCGCGTTTTGTGTATGATTTATACCAAACAGAGCAATGATTTAACACTTCATAGTGCTATGTGTCTGTTTTACACTGACCAGAGCAACGTTGTAACAATACAGTATACAACAAGAGCAATTAGTGAGACTGCATACTCTCAACCCACCATTCCTTTTCGAGATTTACCGTTTATATTGGTAACGTCAAATTTCACCATCGAAAACTCAGAAAATTCTTCTGATATCCAGTCGATACAAGATGATAAAAACCCTATAACCCGAGCGCTTTCAATAGGTGGACATTTCTTCCTCAGGGACAAACTGGGATTCCCAGTTTGCCCCTCAAGAAGAAAGGTCCACCTTTCGAAAATGTTTTATTCAAATATCACTACTTTCTAATTTAACGAGCAAATATCACTTACGTCTATTAATTTACAGTTGTTAGAGAGATTTAAAGTTTGTGCTGCTTCTTGTTCCAATTGCAATAAAAAAGAAGGATAAGTATTCCCTAACTTTTTCTTGTTTAAATTATAGCAACTGTTAATAGAATTTGCCCCTTCTATATAACTTGGCTCTTTTTTTCTATTAGATATTCATATGGCTGAGCTCTTTATACTAAATTCGTTGTTTTAATGCATGTAAAATGTTTTACTCATGATGTCGCTGCTTGTTCCAATTGTTCATTTTAATTGTTCATGCTGAACCGGAAGTCCACTTTTAGTTTACTACTTCATACAAATATTTAACATTAACTTCCGATCATGGCAATCTACCAACTTAGATCAAAATCAACCTGGTACTGAGAAAGTATAGCTAATTAAATATACTGTTCTTACTTTTAAAGATTAGAATACATTGTTTCATCAGTTGGGTACCATTGCTGTAAGAGACATTTTCGGCTGTAAACCCAATAATATCTCACGAGGTTCGACTAGCTTAGAAGATTTAGGTTAGCCTAAATCTGTGTATTAAGCTAACAAATGAAAATGATTTTTATGATTAAAAAAAAGAAATTAAAATATAAAAAGTAGATATATTAAATATTCTAACCAATAACGTCAGTGAAAGTAACATTAAAGAAATAATACAGTATACCTTACTTACATAACACAGAAACATTTGTTGTTATCTACTTGCACTGTCGTAGATAGACGGCCCAGAACTCGATTCTATTTGCTATTACTTAACACAAACCTGTTCACCTGGAAGACCCTGAAATTGAATATTAGCTTGCTAATACTTTACACAAAGGTATTGAACTTGAGGACCCAGAATTTAATGTGAGTTTTCTAATATTTCAGAAGAACGTGCTCACCAGAAGGACCCGAAATTTGATATTAGCTTCGTAATACTCAACATGTATATTTTCAGCTGGAGGACCCAGAATTTAAGGTAAGTAACTTAATACTCCACATGCATATATTCAACTGAAGGACACATAATTTAATGTTAGCAACTTAATACTTCACATACATATGCTTAGTTGGAGGACCCAAAAGTATAATGTTTGATTTCCAGGATATGTCTGTTCGGAAATACTTTGACAAAAATATGTTCTTACAGAATACAAATGCTTAGTGTCATCAAACTGGTATTCTACAATAAAAATACAGAGCATAGAAAATAGTAACTTTTTAATACTAAATGTTTTTAACCTACACATTATATAAACTCAACACTAAATGTTTTTTTTAGTCTACACATTAAATAAACTCAACACAAATTATTCAATTTTAAAACTTCAACATATGCAACAATAACTATTTCTATACATTTTATATATGCATTATTCCACAAAAACGTGTAATCGCTACATAAACGTAGTTTATGCACTTTATACAAATTAAAAGTATTTTTATAAATTGTTCATTATCGACTGTATTGAAATGTTGAGGAAATTTAAGCATTAGAAATTAATAAATGTCTATTTTTAATTAAGTATAGAATTTTTTAAATAAAAAACTCCAATAGAATTTAACCACTTTAAAAAAGTAAATTTTAAGTTATTTTACAGGCATACAAATACAAAGATAATGTTTATACGGTGTTGTTATGATTTTATTTTTGATGATTTTTTTTGTAAGTTTCGAAACATGTATTTGAATCTTTATGATTTTTCATACCTTAAGAAAGCTTTCTCTGTGTGTTTTTACATTTTTTAATTCTTGTTGCTGCTTGTTTTAATTGTTCATGCTGCTGCTTGAAAGCGTATTGTTATCTTGACTACTTCACACAGATATGTTCACCTAGACGAACCAGAAGCTTATTTTTATGTTAACTATTTCACACAGACATGTTCACCTAGACGAACCACAAGCTTATTGTTAAATTGACTATTTCACATAGACATGTTCACCTGGATAAACGAAGAGCTTATTGTTATGTTGACTATTTCACACAAACATGTTCACTTAAACAAACCAGAAGCGTATTGTTATCTTGACTACTTCACACATACATGTTCACCTAGACGAACCAGAAGCTTATTGTTATCTTGATTATTTCATACAAACATGTTCCCCTAGACGAACTAGAAGTTTATTGCTATCTTGACTACTTCACTCAGACATGTTCACCTAGACAAACGAAGAGCTTATTGTTATGTTGACTACTTCACACAAACATGTTCACCTAAACAAACCAAAAGCTTATTGTTATCTTGACTACTTCACACATACATGTTCATCTAGACAAACCAGAAGCTTATTATTATCATGACTACTTCACAAGATATGTTTACCTAGAAGAACCGGAAGCTTATTCTTAGCTTACTACTTCACAAGATATGTCTACCTATACTAACCGGACATTTAATGTTAGTTTGCTGCTACTTCAGACACGTGTTCACCTAGAAAAACAGATAGATATTGTAAATGTTTGGGATGAGCTTAAAACTAACCAAACGCCAGAATACATCACTTGTGCCTTGTATGATTGGAATAATTTGTTATCTATTATAAGATTTTCCCTATGACTGTAATATATTATTTTCAAGCAGGTTTTGAATGATATATATATATATACATACATACTAGGTTAATTCGGAATATTATTTCTAAAATAACAACTTGAGCAAACGTTACCTAAAAATGTTCTGTTCCACATTTTACTGGTTATGACAGAACCATTGGTCACGTCGAATCCTTCGCTTAAAGTTTCGTTTAGTGCCAGGGCGTAAAGGATCATAGCTTCATAAAATCCACTTACAAACGTGTTCACCTAGACAAACCAATTGTGTACACTTGATATGGCCAATGTTAAAAGTTTTTGTTTTTTTTCAAATGTCTTTTGTTTCAAAAATACGCCTCGGTAGCAAAAAAAAAAAGAAATTTCGCAAAAACAACTTTGTTAGGTAAAGTTAAATAATTTCCATCTAAGCAATGATTTAGACTTATTCAGCAAAAATAAGGAAGAAGAAGCCTACATTTTACAGTCAGAAAGCTCAGTAAGCTATGCTGTTCATTTTATGGATATTATAAATACATATATATATATATATATAACATGTATTGTTCAGCTTAATGTAGAGTATGTATGAATATTCTGGCTAGTGCTTAGGACTACTAGTCGAAAGGTTGTGAGTTTGAGATTTACTTGGACATGGTTATGTCTTTGAGCAAGACACTTTACTCCAATTGTTTCAGTCTACACAACTGTATAGATGAGTAGCTGGAGGTTAACCTGCGATGTACTAACATCCATCCAGGTAGCTGAAGGTTAACCTGCGTTATACTGACACCCATCCAGGTAGATGAAGGTTAACCTGCAATGTACTGACACCCCATCCAGGTAGATGAAGGTTAACCTACGATGTACTGACACCCCATCCAGGTAGCTGGTGTTAACCTTATGATGTACTGACACCCCATCCAGGTAGCTGGTGTTAACCTGCGATGTGCTGACACCTCATCCAGATAGATGGAGATTAACCTGCGATGTAATGATACCCCCTCCAGGTAGATGGTGTTAACCTGCGATGTACTGATACCCCCTCCAGGTAGATGGTGTTAACATTCTCATTCGCCTGTGCCGTCGGAACCGAGTTTCGGCAATGGTTACTTTGTGCCGTTTCGGCTTGGGATGGATTTAACTTTAACTAACGTCATTTATAAGTAAACCTCAAAGCCATCCTACCAAATTCTTACATTACAACATTACCTGACCGAAATAAGTGTGTATGTGTTTGAACAAACTTTCATCTTTAAAAGAGTTTCTTTCTCGATTTTCTCTTTTGGTGTGTTTCTGATAGGTTAAATACCAAAACCTTACTTCGCATCTCTCTCTTAAAATCACACCATATCCTATTAAACGGGCATCGTTTGTAATTGTTTTTGCTTATTTCGTATCGTATGAAATGTTCAATACTAAACTAATGGTTAAACTAACGATATATGTATAACTCACAGGAATACTTGACCGAACTGTGCTCATTCTTGACCCCAGAGGGCGTTTATAGGAAGAACTTGTTAGGATCTCTTCGTATTTGATTTTCCACGTCATCGAGGCAATATCTGCTTCCAGTTTAAAGTGCCTAATCCACAAATCAGAATAAGAATACTGTTTACAAAATTAAATGTCATTTTAAGCCTTAACTACTATTAAAAATATCTAAGGTCTAATAATTATCTCGTGGCGTTTTTCACATGCTAAAACAAGAGATTGAAATTTCGAACAAAATATTCAGTTTTTTTAATTATATAGATACCTTTTTTCATTATTATCAGCATGAAAGAAGGTTTGTAAACCATTGTTTCTGTATTTGAACATGCAAAGTGAGTGAAAACATTTACTTATAAATAAATTTCAGTGTTGTTGTTGTTTTTATGCTGGAATGTTATTACCATGTCTCGAACAAGAACTATGCAGACACAGTGGTGTAGTCGAAGGTATAATCTCGAGTAAACTGCATGCTACACACTTTTTGTCTGGCGAATATAGCGTTTATCCACTTCTCATGTTTGCACACTTACAACGCTAGAAAACGGGTTTCGACTAGTACAGCACTATATACGATTGTGTGTGTGTGTAACCTTCGTTCTTTTGTAAAATCTGGGTTCTTTATTAGAATTGCTAAAAGCCACAAGTAAATAATAATCGAATCCAGGATTATACTAAACATAGATACTACCTTGCACAACAGACAGAGTTTAATTTCCCGGTAGACTGAGCTGTAAATACAGAGGACATACTTCAAAAGGTTCCCATAAATAACATAAATACTTAAAGTAATTGGTTGTGGCAAGCTTGATGTAGGTCATTTCTACAGTGTATAAAATAGGAAGCGTGATGAAAATAACATCTAGTTTATAAATCCTACGCTTTAGCACCTATACTTATCATTTACACCCAATCTTCAGAAATGTCACTAGAATTAGAAAATTTAGTTGGAATTCTAATACCTCAGATTTGATAAAAATTGGCTTTTTTAGATTAGATGTATATATCAAAACCCGCTGAGCTTCATCAAACCTTATGAAAGTCATTACTTTGTCCAAAAATAATCTATTGTCACGGCTCCCAAAGTTAAGATACATTAGTTATAAGTAAATATATAGTAGATATTATGTAAAAAAGTGATCATCGTGTAGTATGTTAAACATTGCTTATACATGTGCACATTTTTCTTCTTCAAAAATATAATATGCAGGCAGTGTCATCTGTGGAGAAAATTTAAAAGTATTACGTTTCGAAGACTTTACATCATGTAAAGTGATTAAGGCACTTTACTAGCAATCTGCGAATCGCGGGTTCGAATTCCGTTACCGAACATGCTCGTCCTTTTAGCCGTTGGAGCATAATAATGTAACGGTCAATCCCACTTTTCGTTAGCAAAAGAGTAACCCAAGAGTTGGTGTTGGCTAGCTTCCTTTACTTTAGTCTATCACTTCTAAATTGGGAATGGCTAGCGCAGATAGTCCTCGAGTATCTTTGAGCGAAATGCATCAAAAATAAAAAAATTACAAGATCCACGATATATATTCATAAATTATCCCCTAGTATCATTTATAGATATCAGATTCAGAAACCTGCAACGGAAAAATGACACTTCATGAGTAATTGGCCCAAGTTTCTCTTCTTAAAAATCAATGATATATGGTATCTTTCTGGACGTTTAGACACCTTAGTAAATTCTGTTTTCATTGACATTTCGGTGACCTCATACATATACACATATATTTATGTGTTAGTGCAATGTACAGTTTCTTCTCAAACGTTTCGGTCATTTCTAAGGACATTTTTCCTTTAGAAATGCCTCTCGTATTAAGCATGAGAGTTTATAATGGTCAAATTCGGGTTTGATCTCTGCGATGGACACAGCACAGATTGTGGAGATTTTCGCTTAAATCAATCGAATGAACATTCCTCAAAAAAGTTGTATTATAAAAAATAAGATCTACTATGTTCGTAACAGCTGAAGTCTCAATCATTTTCAGACGTATTATCTTCCCAGAAACTGACGTAGAACAAGGTACATCTAAAGAAGTGTTATTCTATATTGAGCTTAGTATCTTTTATAAAAATAACCATCTACAACACTTCACACGAGCAACCTTAGTTTCGAGCACCCATGGCTCACCACACATACACACACGCATGGTAAGAACAAATGGAAAAAGAAAACACTGTAAATTTTTATTTTGACATCGATGTAATGAGGGTCTTGTCACAACGTTTCGTTAGTGTAAAATGTTTCAGTAATACAGTAAATGAAACCCACGTTTGAAAGATTTTTTCCTCATTAGCGAAGTACCTTCAATGTTTCTTGAATGCCATTTATCATTTTTTTATTTTTTGAAAGAAATCAATCTTCGTTTCTCCTAGCTCTTTCACAGATGACAGTGGAATGTATAATCCTGACAGTTTAGATTTTGTTAATGTAACATATATTAACATGTATACAGAAACCGTATTTTTTATAACTTGGCTCGGCTGTGAGCTATTTTTGTGTGAAACTGAGCAAGAAATGGGGGCTGTTTTGTTATAAGAGATCTAGAAATATAGATTATATATTTAAAATACCAACTAAAAACATCTATAGGTTAACGTACCCTGTTTAGCCCAATTTGTCTTTTTAACTCATTCCTCGTCAACGCAGTGATTACAGCTAGAATGCAACATCTAAAGCCACGACGCTCCTTTTCACAGACCTTTCTTAGCTGAGCGTTATCGAATATGATGTTTAATTTTTTTTGTCTTAACCCTATTTCGGGTGGAACAAATAAAAAGAAAACTGTCAGTGACTCTCTTACCTGTAAATGAAGAATGAGATGATCACCAAGACAACCATAAGTCCGCTCATCACAGCTATTACGATTACGTATTGTGGGATCTCTGTTACGAAGGTATAGACAACATAAAAATATGAGTAAAATCTAAAAAAACAATTGGAAAAATACGTCTGTGAAGTGTTTTTGAAGTTTGTTTCAAAATGTGTGTGCAGAATTACATGTTATATATTTATAATCCAAATATACATTTAAAATTTTCACAATACTTCAAAATATGTTTGTGTTTCCATAGTAAAAAGGAAATTATTCGATTAACCTTGTACTATTAAATGCATTTTCAATACAATATGTTAGAGCTTCTGTTTATAAGATGTATGAAAAGAAAGTAAAAACAAAGTGTAAATGCTTGCATCATACGAAATTACACTACCCTAATTAACAAAGTAACTAATTCTTCATTTAACATATGTTATATATTACTGCATGATATGGCGACATTTTTATCAGTAATGCAATTTCTATTAGCTAAATGTGCATACTATTTTCGGGGCATTTTGACCTGTCGTATCCACAGACTGGAGTGTCTAGCGGCGGCACCTGGCGTCCACCACTCCAGTGGATTTTTTTCCCTTCGACTTCCACCAATTGTTTACTTTCTTGAACGTAATTCGCAACGACCTGTGTTAGTAAGAAATGTGTCAGCGTGTTTGTTTTGCAATTAAAATACTTTCAGGTTCTGTAGAATTATTATGACTAAACAAAATACCAATAACGACACAATCTTTAAACGTTCCTAGATGCCGATATTCAACAAATAATAACTCCTCTTATTCAACTATAGAGGTCAATAAAATATAGAATGAAAATAAATCAATATTTCCAACCATAAAAATGTTTTTTGATATTTTCATAAGCAGGTAGAAGAAATGCTTGTTTTTTTTAATATCACTCAACAAGCCAGTTTTGGCAGACGCTAGTTAATAAATTACAATGTGGTTTATTTTATAACCATTCAAACCCGAATGACTGGAACCTGATATGTGGTTTGTTTTACAGCCATTCAAGCCGGAATGACTGGAAACCAGCATATTTAATCACGTATATTTATTGGGTAAAATAACACAGAATTTAAGAAATAATAATATTAAACTGATTTTAAACTGTCAGATTACAGTAAAATGAAGAAAGGCCATATTAATTAATGCGATTTCTATAACCTCTGTAATTTGACTCGTTGCCAGAAAATTTGGGGACGAAAATATAGAACCTATCTAATAAATGTAAGTAGTAACTTCGCATGTATTTTATCATACGCTGAAATCAATAACAACAACTGAGCCAAAATCATAAGCGGAGAAATCTGGAGCCAAACATCCCTGGGTTTTAAAAGTCAATGCTTGTTTTGTTTTTCTAACCTAGGAAACCAGTAAACTATAAAAAAAAATAGTGCCCTGTTATGCACTGTACTTTTTGTTTAAATATGAGGAGAAAAACATAAAATCGTATTTGGAGATTGAGGCTTTAGCTCATCCTATTCAAATTTCTATGTTATTTAAAACTATAGTTTCATCACATTCCAGAAATCAATGTTTACTGCATTGTACGGATCTTGCATGAAATACGCCATGATCACTCTCAACTTATTTGTATCCTGGATATTATTTTATATAACAGACAATAACAGCGGTAAGTCTGAGGGCTAATAACACTAAAAAATCGGTTTTCGATAACTTTGCTAGGCAGAACACAGATAGTCCACTTTGTAGCTTTGTGCTTAAAACAACAAACAAAAAAAGTCTTCGAGGGGAAGGCTAGATAGTAGAAATTCTGGAGAGGTTTTTCCTGGGAAAGACTTGATAGTAGAAATTCTGGAGAGGTTTTTCCTGGGGAAGGCTAGATAGTAGAAATTCTGGAGAGGTTTTTCCTGGGGAAGGCTAGATAGTAGAAATTCTGGAGAGGTTTTTCCTGGGGAAGGCTCGATAGTAGAAATTCTGGAAAGGTTTTTCCTGGAGAAGTCTAGATAGTAGAAATTCTGGAGAGGTTTTTCCTGGGGAAGGCTAGATAGTAGAAATTCTGGAGAGGTTTTTCCTGGGGAAGGCTAGATAGTAGAAATTCTGGAGAGGTTTTTCCTAAAATCCATTTGTCACATGATGTACCCCATGATTTTAACTTAAAATTTAACTCATAGTTAAACAACTGAGTCATATTAATGTGATTTTAATCGTCTAATCGGCATAGAATGAATAGTGACTATCATATTAAATGAGAGTCGATAGATATTATCAAAAAACACCACATCAAAGGGATTGTCACATAAATATTCACGTAATAAAAAATGTAACATTTAAAGTGATTTTAACTTTAGAAATTGGATTTAGAAATGTATAGAAAGCATCGTATTAAGATACAAATTGGCCTAATAACAATTATAATATTTAAAGTGATTTTACCCTTACATATTAGCATAAGATTTAATATAAGCCATCGTACTAAAATGATTTTCGGCTAGGTATTGGCGTGAGTAAAAACGATAATATTGCAAGACATTTTAACGTCACAAACTGGTAGAGAACGTAACCGATGCTATTATGTTTACAGTTTGCCTGATTCGAGATCTTCAAGCAGGCCTAAAACAATAAGGTGAGTGGAGAAGCACGTTCGAATGACTAGTGTCTTAAGCGCTTGATCCACCATTGATACTTTAATCATTCAGCCGAATTTCCTTTCATCTTAAATTGGTGGTGAAACAGCAAAAAACGAAAACAAAAACATTAGTATGTTCTGAAAACTATCGAAACTGAACTGCAGTGAACCTAAAGTCGCAAAACATTTTAGCATAAATACAAAATAAGTGAAAAAATTGATAATAATGACCGCAAAAGTTTCTACAATTCAGATATTTAAGTGGTAAGATCCTGTTGGGATTATCCCTAATGTAACACTTCTAAAGTTAATCAACTATACGCCTAACAACCTGTTCAAGTGCTTTTATTATCTTCTCTGTTTACCCTAAAAGACTGCTTATCATTACACACAGTTAAGGTTACGCAATACTAGATGAAAAGCGCCAGTTCTTGCTAAAGATACTTGATAAATATCCAGTGGAGAGACAAATACACGGGAACGATCAAGTATTTTTCTGATAATAATCTTTAGGGCTAAAATTAATTAAAAAATGATTCTTACTTCGAATGTTCCTGTTTCGGGATTTAAATCCATCAAAGCATAATTGACATATCGGTCTCCGTTACTGTCTATGGTGACGTTGCCTGAAATTCCTACAAATGTTTGACATTAACGGGAGTTATAGACTTGCTTCTGTCCATATTCGACAAATATTTGAAAGTTATATAACTAATATCATTATTAGAGCTTAAAGTTATTATACTAATGTTAATCTAATACAGCTGTAGGTTTCATAATATCTTACATCTGAGCCTGATAAATTATAATAAACGTGATGTGAACAAAGAAATGTAAAAAAACAAAACAACAAAAAACTGGAAAAGTGAACAAACCAGTTATAAAATTTACTAGTACACATAATCTCCAAACTTTCATAATAGTACACATAATCTCCAAACTTTCATAATAGTACACATAATCTCCAAACTTTCATAATAGTACACATAATCTCCAAACTTTCACAATAGTGCACATAATCTCCAAACTTTCATAATAGTACACATAATCTCCAAACTTTCATAATAATACACATAATCTCCAAACTTTCATAATAGTACACATAATCTCCAAACTTTCATAATAATACACATAATCTCCAAACTTTCACAACAATGATGGTTACATAGCTTGGAAAAAAACTATTAAGATACATCTTTCAGAAGAAAAATCAACAGTAATTGAGCGGTTGTTTTCAAGACTGTTATATATATCACTATACATTACTGATACGATTTAAGACTTACGATATTTTATCCTAAAGATAATTACAAATCAATGTAGTATGAAGTTGGCCGGGCATGGCCAGGTGGTTAGGGCGCTCGACTCGCAATCTGCGGGTCGCGGGTTCGAATCCTCATCACACCAAACATGCTCGCCCTTTCAGCCGTGGGGGCGTTATAATGTGACGGTCAATCCCACTATTCGTTGGTAAAAGAGTAGCCCAAGAGTTGGCGGTGGGTGGTGATGACCTTCCCTCTAGTCTTATACTGCTAAATTAAGGACGGCTAGTGCAGATAGGCCTCGTGTAGCTTTGCGCGAAATTCAAAAAACAAACTAGTATGAAGCTAATACTTTCATTAGAAGTGTGTAGTTCGTCCAAGCCTTTGGTAATTACTTTCATAAAAAGCATTAATTTATTGCTGCTGTTTTTTATGAGTAGAATACAGATGTCACTGCCGAAATACACTGCTACTTGTGTTTGTGTGTGTGAATGTATACTTAAGTTCAACCTAACTACGACGTTTTCTGATAAATTTAAGAAAATATAGTTTCTGGCCAACATTATTTAGGCAGACAATTTTAGGTGATGTTAAATGTATTCATATTTGGCACAGTTGAAGAAAAGTTGCATGCTGATGTTGATAGTTCCACTGTTTCTCTTTACTTACTTTAAAAATTTTACAGGCTACCAACTTGAATATTCAGAAGTAAGATTGTACGCAAAATTTCAGATGTTGTACATAAATAAATTAAATAATTATGTATATATATATATATGAAAGTAACAAAGTGATCAGTACACTGGTGTGACGATATTCATGTGTTGAATAATATTCTCGATAATTTCCAAGAAAAGACATTCGCTTTAACTGTCTTAAAACAAAGAAAATACTTTTACACAATAATCCTAATTTTTTAACAAAATTCAGAGGATATTAAATCCCTTTAAACTTAATACTTATGGGTAATCACACGTCATAACAGACATCTTCCAACATTACTAACTACGCTACATTGTGTACGCTTTGTATGGTCATCGTTACAAGATGTGCTACTCTGTACACTTCATATGGTCAACATTACTAACTACGCTACATTGTGTACACTTCATATGGTCAACATTACTAACTACGCTACATTGTGTACAGTTCGTATGGTCATCGTTACAAGATGTGCTACTCTGTACACTTCATATGGTCAACATTACTAACTACGCTACATTGTGTACAGTGTACAATATTATTAGTTGCATTGCTGTGCTACTCTGTACACTTCATATGGTTTCTTGTAACGATGACCATACGAAGCGTACACAATGTAGCGTAGTTAGTAACGTTGGCCATACGAAGCGTACACAATGTAGCGTAGTTAGTAACGTTGACCATACGAAGAGTACAGAGTAGCACATCTTGTAACGATGACCATACGAACTGTACACAATGTAGCGTAGTTAGTAATGTTGACCATATGAAGTGTACACAATGTAGCGTAGTTAGTAATGTTGACCATATGAAGTGTACAGAGTAGCACATCTTGTAACGATGACCATACAAAGCGTACACAATGTAGCGTAGTTAGTAATGTTGACCATATGAAGTGTACAGAGTAGCACATCTTGTAACGATGACCATACGAACTGTACACAATGTAGCGTAGTTAGTAATGTTGACCATATGAAGTGTACAGAGTAGCACATCTTGTAACGATGACCATACGAACTGTACA